CTGCCCAAAGGGGTCGTGACCCACAGGTTAAGAACCACTGCTATAAATCAATGTCCAGCACGGGGGTCAGTAGCCAGACTCAACCTGTCTCTTTGTTGCTGCATTTCTCCCATATCCACTCAACAAGTGGATCCAGGTGGTCACCTAGCAAGGATATCAGCCTGCCCACAGGTTCCCTTTACCATTCAGTCCTAGAGAGGAGTTTTCTTCATGGTTCCAGATTTTTTCCCAGTTACTGGCACAAACCACTAGTTCAAAATTCCAAAACCCAAGAGTTCCTTTTTGCCTTCAACCTGTCAATCTAGACCCTGGGCAGGTCTCTTGGAACGCAAATATCCTGAGTACTCCAAAGCGCTGGGTGGGGCTAATCTTTTCAGAGCCTTCTTTGCACGCAGGTCCTAAACCCATCAGAACATCAAATTAATGGCTTGAGGCAAGTGGGTTTACAAGCTCCCTATTTTCATACTTCCCAAAATCATTTCTATATATCCTTATATAAACAGAGGAAATCAATGGAAACAAATTAGACTCAGATACTAAACTCAAATTTAAAAACAGTCAAGTTCAATCCTTATTCAACATATCTCCATCCTTACCTAAACTATTCTATTTATACAAAAATATGGGATTACGCCTCTGGCATCATTGTCTGAAGCTAGGACCAGGCCTTCTGTCAGCCATTTTGACCTCAGTGAGCCATTTTCTCTAACCAGCTTAGTCTCTGAGAAATTCAAGGGGCGATTTCTACCCCTGAGCTCAAAATATACATTAACCACATTCGTTTTTGCCATTTCACACAGGAAAAAACAAAGACTACAATCAAACTTAATCATCAAAATTTTAATGCCCCATATTCTTTCCAGTAAACAACCCAGTAAACTGCATGGACATATCTGACCTCTGGCTAGACAAAGAAGAAATCACTACCATGAGGCAGAAGTCAAATACACATCTACTCTCTGTCTTTATGATGTGTTTCTCTAGTACCCCACTCCCAAGGTACCGTAATGCGTTAGTCTGGGTGGACTAGAGAAACAAATACATGGACACTCTCATATGTATAGGAAAGAGCTTTATATACAAGAGCAGTTAAATATTGAGAAATCATCCAGGCCAGTCCAGATCAAGTCTCTAAGTTCAATCTTAGCCCATATGTCTGATACCAATCGATAAAGTCCTCTTCAGTCTTACAAAACACATGCAATGATGCAGAGTGCAGGAAGATCACAGGCCAGTCGGTGGGAAATCTTGTGTACCCACTGGCGTTGTAAGCATGTCAGCACTGGCAGGGGTCTCCACGTGGCTTCCCCAGGGAGTATAGAGAGTGTCTCCTGACTCCAAGGAGGAAATACAGGAATTCCCAGAATCCTCAGGGAAAGGTCATGCCCACACAGAGACCTCATTGGCTATATTTTGATTGATAGGCTAGACTCCACCCCTACACTCTTAATCCTCAAATTGATACCAGATAATGTAACTCCCACACCAGATATTCACAGATTGTTAACTGGAGAAAACAGCAGGGTCTGAGATTAAAGGTAGTGAGTGATCAAAGAGAAATTTAGACTTACCTGTACCTAATTTTTACTTGTTTCTAATTTTTATAAAGATAAGATATACATGTATTATTTGTGTAATTTGAATTTTTTTAAAGGAACTAACTAGTAATTGTATGGCAAGTATCTAAAACTATTAGATGATCTTTTCTGTTTTTAATTAATAAAACTAGTTGTCAATGAAAATAAATAAATAAAATTATCAGATGAAAACATAATTGTAAAATAAGGTGGTATGTAGACAACTTTCCTTTATGTAGGGAAGAAAGTAGGGTTATATGCATGTATCCTCAAATATGCATAAGCTATCTTTGCAAGGATTCCCCAGACTGACAACATGGACTGTCTTGGAAGAGGGGACATTGGTGATAGGTGAGGATGAAGGAAACCTTACTTTTGTGAACTGTTTTATGAAGTTGTAAACTCTTTGAACTTTTTATTCTATGTACACAAACTGATTCTTCTTTTTTACAGAAACTATGATTCACAAGTATGAATGTGTGCTTTCAGAATAGTCTAGAGATTTTCTGTGCTCAAGGTCTTCTGAAGTTCGGTCTCCGATTACGAACAAAGCCAACCTCTTCTTTTTAAAATCCCAGGATTCTGAAAACAAGGGTGATCATCCGAATGTGCAAATGTGCTCTGCTCCCTCCTCCGTGAGCCAGGACAACCAGGAGACCCTGAAACGGCTGTCGGAGGTCTGGCAAAAGGTGGCTGAGCAGGACGACCTCATCCAAGACCTGCGCAATAAGCTGGCCTGCAGTAATGCTTTGGTAAGTGTGGTCTTCCAGAACATTTTTCTGAGAGGGCCAAAATAAATGTGTCACCTAAATTAAT